AGGACTGAGGCTGTAGACCCAGGACTGAGGTTGTAGACCCAGGACTGAGGTTGTAGACCCAGGACTGAGGTTGTAGACCCAGGACTGAGGCTGTAGACCCAGGACTGAGGCTGTAGACCCAAGACTGAGGTTTTAGACCCAGGACTGAGGCTGTAGACCCAGGACTGAGGCTGTAGACCCAGGACTGAGGCTGTAGACCCAGGACTGAGACTGTAGACCCAGGACTGAGACTGTAGACCCAGGACTGAGGTTGTAGACCCAGGACTGAGGTTGTAGACCCAGGACCGAGGCTGTAGATTCAGGACTGAGGCTGTAGACCCAGGACTGAGACTGTAGACCCAGGACTGAAGCTCAGGGACTGGCCTCCTGCTGGGACCCTCCAGGACTAAACATGGGGAGGCAGCATTTCAGATTCGTGCAGCTTAAATCTGGAACAGTCTTCCTGAAGATTAAAAGCAGTTCTGTTTCGCTGCAACAACTGAAGGATGTGTCTTTACTTGTTTTAATGTTCTGGGTTTGTTTAAGATTTGGATGTTTAGATCTTATATTCTTTAGTGACTATTGTGGAGATTTTTTAAGGAGGAATTATCCTGGATTTTAAAACATGATGCAACAAGTTTAACTTTATCATTCCCAGCTTCAGTGTTTTCATTTTAACAATCTGTAAATGTTTGTTTAGAAGACGAGGATTTCCTTACAGGCCTAGACCTGCACGAGACCCATAGAACCTCAGAGAGAACCTTAGAGAGAACCACAGAGAGAACCTCAGAGAGAACCACAGAGAGAACCACAGAGAGAACCACAGAGAGAACCTCAGAGAGAACCTCAGAGAGAACCACAGAGAGAACCACAGAGAGAACCACAGAGAGAACCACAGAGAGAACCTCAGAGAGAACCTCAGAGAGAACCTCATAATCTGACTCATAATCTGAGAGTCCCCTACCTTTAAAGGAGACATAATCTGCAACATCAATTTTTCTCTTTTCTCTGTGTTACAACACGGTCGCTCATCCGTCACAGACCTGGGGTTGTTTTTAGACCCATCCATGCTAATACCACAAACTTCTGATAAAAGACGTGGGTAGAGTCGAGTCCAGCAAGGACAAAACAAGTGAGGCCAAAGAGACTCACATTGAATTCTTGTCAAGCACAAAGTCCACACAGTCTGTCAGAGACCAGAGAGAGAACAGAGAGAGAGAGAGACGAAAGAGACTGAAGAGAGACCAGAGAGAGACCAGAGAGACCAGTGAGGGACCACAGAGAGACTAGAGAGAGAGACCACGAGGACCAGAGACCACAGAGACTATAGAGAGACCATAGAGACCAGAGAGAGAGACCACAGAGAGACCGCAGAGACCAGAGAGAGACCGCAGAGACCACAGAGACTATAGAGAGAGACCGCAGAGACCAGAGAGAGAGACCACAGAGAGACCGCAGAGACCAGAGACCACAGAGACTATAGAGAGAGACCGCAGAGACCACAGAGACTATAGAGAGAGACCGCAGAGACCAGAGAGAGCCTGTGAAAAGTAGCTTCCTCTTTGCTCTAGATGTTATTGGTGGATTTGAATCAAGGCCAAAGTTTCCTGTTGTTTGCAGGAGGGCGGGACCTCTGGGTTTGTTTACGTTCCAGCTTCATTCACAACCGTCTCTGCACATTTACAATGTTATCAAAACAACAGAACTGAGTCCGCAGAGAAAGAGGAGACCTGTGTTTGTGAAGTGATCCACAAAAACACAATAATCCTCACATACAGAGGGTTTAATGCAGAGAGAGAATAGCTACTCCCACAGTCTCAGTATTGTGTAATGTACAGGACCTCCCATTCTGCATGTTTCTGCTGGAAGAAGCGTGAAGAGATCTATCCACACGTGACCATATGAACCAAAAGAGGAGCACAGGGACTAGCCTCCTGCTGGGACCCTGAGGAGCACAGGGACTAGCCTCCTGCTGGGACTCTGAGGAGCACAGGGACTGGCCTCCTGCTGGGACTCTGAGGAGCACAGGGACTGGCCTCCTGCTGGGACTCTGAGGAGCACAGGGACTGGCCTCCTGCTGGGACTCTGAGGAGCACAGGGACTGGCCTCCTGCTGGGACTCTGAGGAGCACAGGGATTCAATTCGCTTCAATGTATTTGTGTATTGCCCTAAATCACAACAGCAGTTGTCTCACGATTTTACAATGTTGTGGATTTCCAAAAAACAGATCAGAGAATTCAGAAAATGCTATAATAACAAACACATGGGAGCCATTGGTCCATAGTGAGCAGGACGACTGATCCAGGACTGAGGCTGTAGACCGAGGACTGAGGCTGTAGACCGAGGACTGAGGCTGTAGACCGAGGACTGAGGCTGTAGACCCAGGACTGAGGCTGTAGACCCAGGACTGAGGCTGTAGACCCAGGACTGAGGCTGTAGACCCAGTCTAAACTAATGTAATCCCACAGTATATGTGGGTTAAACATGTAAACAATCCATGTTGCTTCTTCTGAGTCTGCTTCTGCAGTTCAAGGAATTTCAACAAAACAAACTCAAAAAACCAATAATACAAGGCTGCGAAACCAGAATGAGGTCATACAAAAATAGTGGTTTCCGAAGCTTCTATTTTGTAACATTTTCCTTCTGAATGTCACCAACCTGGACTCCACGCTGCCTCAGGTTCAGTCTTAACACACATCAATGGTAAACACAGCAAATTATATGCATGAATGAGAACCAGATCTGGCCTCATTCCTGGTCCAGACCTTGACCCAGATCTGATCTGATTGCTGGTGCAGACCTGGACCCAGATCTGGTCTCATTCCTGGTCCAGACCTGGCAAACATGGGGCTTGTGTTTTGCTAATGCAGCGCTGAAGCAACAACGCCTCAACTCCGCGGGGTGCGTCTAAAATCTTTTCCCATCGCGTCCTCCTCGCCCTTATTTCCACCTTAACTCTACAGGAGGTGTGAGTAAATCCCCCCGCAGAGGAGGTGCAGAGGGGAGGACAGTAGGAGGCGGCACAAGCTGACTGACAGCTGAAGAGTGGAAGATTACAGGGAGAGGAAACGTGAAAAGGAGAGGAGGAAAGAGATTTGAGACGCAACCATAGCCACGCTGTCTACAATATAGCTGTTATTTAGCTTCCGGTTGTTTGTCGTTAACTATAAGCCTATACATCAAACCTAGTAACATGAAAACTAAACTGAAATGCAAAATCGTGGTGAATGTGGCCGTTTAAATGATACTGAGACCAGGAAAGACGTTGGAATGCGGCTAATGCTAACGCTGGATGCTAACGGCTAGCGCTGCTAAGGAATGTCAACAAAGAACATGGCTCTCCAGCAGCAGGCTAAAAAGCACGTGGTCAGGCCAGATAAAATCAAAATAAAACTATTACCTTGGCTCAAAAACAGTTTATACAGCCAGGACTGAATCACAACTATTCCCGTGCTAAATTATAACGCCAAATATGAAAGGATTTGACACGGCCCGGTTCAATACGAGTCAAACACTAGAACCATTTTTTTTATATCTCGTGTCTGACAGTACACAACAGGGCAAGACTGTGCACAGCAGGTCCAAAGACTTTGTTTACGCGTGATAAAAGTATACACAAGGGCAATTTTAGATCTAATAATTGTCCATAGGGATGGGCCAAGTCAGATCTACATAATCATAATGCAATCATATTAAAATAACACATGTATAGGCTAGGGCAACATAGACTTCAATGCCTGGACTTTAACTATAAAACCAGGAACACTCATTATTGACGTAAAAGATATGAAATCAGGCCTGAACACTGTGAAACCAGGGCTGGATCAGACTCAATACGTTGTCAACATTGTACGAATAAATGATGGATCAGGGCCAATGGTCTCTGTCTCTCTCTTTCTCTCCCTCTGTGGTCTCTCTCTTTCTCTCCCTCTGTGGTCTCTCTCTTTCTCTCCCTCTGTGGTCTCTCTCATTCTCTCCCTCTGTGGTCTCTCTCTTTCTCTCCCTCTGTGGTCTCTCTCTTTCTCTCCCTCTGTGGTCTCTCTCTTCCTCTCCCTCCTGTGGTCTCTCTCTTTCTCTCCCTCTGTGGTCTCTCTCTTTCTCTCCCTCTGTGGTCTCTCTCTTTCTCTCCCTCTGTGGTCTCTCTCTTTCTCTCCCTCTGTGGTCTCTCTCTTTCTCTCCCTCTGTGGTCTCTCTCTTCCTCTCCCTCTGTGGTCTCTCTCTTTCTCTCCCTCTGTGGTCTCTCTCTTTCTCTCCCTCTGTGGTCTCTCTCTTTCTCTCCCTCTGTGGTCTCTCTCTTTCTCTCCCTCTGTGGTCTCTCTCATTCTCTCCCTCTGTGGTCTCTCTTTCCCTCTGCAGTCTCCCTCTCTCTGGTCTCTCCCTCTATTATGGGAGATAATAGAGGGAGAGGGATAGAGGGACCAGATAGACCTTTATGGTCTCTCTGGTCTCATTATTTGGATCCATAGATTGTCAACGAATGCATCACCCACCTGGTCTTACTACACATGGTCTAAATAATGCACCAGTAACCCAAACAAACGCATGCAGACTTCAACGCCCGCGCCTGAACACGCAAGGACACACCAGGTAAAAATAAACCCGAAGCTCCACTAATATCCACTCAATCAGGGCGAAAATTAGACCGTGTGCGACACCGAGACGGAATGCAGAGGGAATCAAAACAAACCCGGTCCCCCATGCACGCTGCAGGGGACCATCAACACCGCGATGGTCATAGGCTTGAATGGAAGCATGGTGTATGTTCATGGTATATGTTGTGTGTGTCTATGCAGTTAAAGCAAGGAATGCACCAGGAACCAAAACAATGCAATGGAACCCGAGCTTAGAAACAGGATCAGGTCTAAACATGCAGGGAGTCATTATCAACATGGCGATTGCTTAATATGTTTGAATGAAGGCACACACACACACGCACACACACACACACACGCGCGCTTAGACACACACGTATGTAGCTGTATAGTGGTGTTGTGTCTGAGAGCATGCATGGCCAGACTTACATCCGTGGAAGCTGCAAAGGGGGGGCGCCTCTCCGCAGAAACACGCCGTCCACAAACACCCCATTTTTACCCAGACATCGGAGGTAAAATTCCCCTCCTCCCGAGCTCTCGTCGCTGGCGGTGAATATCTCCAGATGCCTGCGGGAGATGAAGCTCGAATGCCCCATGCTCACGTCCACGGACCCCTGCGAGGAGTTCCGCCCGATGGTCACCGATCGCTTCTTCATCATGTATTCGAACTCGCGGCCCTCCAGCCGGGCGAGAGCCAGAGCCATGCTGCTGCAGAGATGGACAAGGACCGGGAGGAGAATACTAAACAAACCAAAAGGCTAAACCCGGGTGGAGGTGCCAGGACAGGGGGGGCAGATGTGTGTGTGTGTGCAGCGGGAGCGAGGCTACGGCAGGGGCATCGAATTCAAAACATAAATTTGGAAGGGGAACATGCGAGAGCGAGGGGACAGCTTCGCCAACCCTCGGCTGCTGAGAGAAGGGGGAGGACCGAGAGTGTAGCGGCCGGAGGGACGCGGGGCTGCCAGGTCTGAAGGGAACACGCGCGAGAGACGTGCGCGAGGGTTCATGTGACATCACAACACTCCAGAAAGGCTTTGGTTCTACATATGGTCACTGCTGGTCCATCTAATGTCTTTCTCCCTGGTCTATTTCTTTTTTGTGTCTTTCTCTCTGGTCTTGCTTGGCTCTGATCTCTCTCTCTCTCTCTGATGTCTCTCTTTCTGGTGTCTCTCTATCTAATCTCTCTCTCTGATCATCACAACACTCCAGAAAAGCTGTGGTTTTACATATAGTCTCTACTGGTCTATCGAATGTCTTTCTCCCTGGTCTCTTTCTCTCTCGTCTCTCTTTCTATTTTGTGTGTCTCTCTCTCTGGTCTCGCTTGTCTCTAATCTCTCTCTGATGTCTCTCTCTCTAGTCTCTCTCTAGTCTATAAACACCAGGATCACAGAGAGCGATAAACCAGATTTAGGACCAACATGGTGAGCGTGACATAAACAATTACTTAGCTCAAGGAATTTAACTTTACAGGGAAGTTAATAAAAGCCAGAGAGAGGAGCCAAACTTCATCGATGAGCACTTCCCTATTGGGTTTCATTGAGCCAGTGGGTTAGCATTGTCCATTTGTACAGTCTATGGGAATAATATTGCAATGGACCAATGGAGGGTGCTAGTCAAAGTCACCTCCATCATGGACAACACCTCCCACTGCACAGGACTGAGGAGCTCTCTCAGTGCAAGAAGGTGCGCTACCACAGGGCCTTTATCCCCACCGCTGTCAGACTGTACAACAAGTCACTTTAAGACTGAAAACCCTGCACTACTATTGACACTGTTTCTAGATTGCCACTTTATATTGTACATAATATATCCTGAATTTAACATGTTTGCACAATCTTGAGTGTTTCTATCCATGCCAGATGTGAGATCAATAACGTCCATCTTATCTTATCTTATCTTATCTGAATAATGTATAAAATTGCAACTTCCTAAACTCTACTTAAGAAGCGGACTTGGCAACCCTGGACGCTGTTCGACTCTGTGATTGGCTTTCTCTGCGATAAGAGGCGTGGCTAAGTCTTCTCACCTGCTGATTGGACAGACAAGCTGTCATTCAACACTTGAGATATAAAGCTCGCCCCGTTCACGCTGGGACAGGAGCCAATCAGCGGACGCGTCCTTTCCGCCGATACAAACTGGCCTCACCCTGGTCTTGTAGTGAGTCAAGCCAACGCGGTGGGTGATTGACAGTGCTCACAGCCAATCAGGAGCGAGATTGCTGACACAAGCCGACACGAGCAGCCAATCAGCGGTGAGAATTAATCCGGAGAACACGTGCAAGTTCGGTTGTAGTGTAGCATACCGTAGGCCTATATATGGGGCTAGAGAGAGCATCGCCATGGTAACTATAGTAACACACACAGTCACATCTATGGAGAGATGGACTTTTTCTTATTAAAACGTTACAATTACTGCTACCGATAGTAGCAGTAGTTGTTCTAATGTCCAGCATATCACTACAGTAGCAGTAGCAGTAGTAGTAGCAGTAGTAGCAGTAGCAGTAGTAGTAGCAGTAGCAGTAGTGGTAGCAGTAGCAGTATTAGTAGTAGTAGCAGTAGCAGTAGTAGTAGCAGTAGCAGTATTAGTAGTAGTAGCAGTATTAGTAGTAGTAGCAGTAGTAGTAGCAGTAGCAGTATTAGTAGTAGTAGCAGTAGTATCTAAGATGAGAAACCAGTGTGACTGTGTTTTCTGATTAGATTGAATCCTGAAATGTTTTACATACATTATGCCCATTGTTTTTGCTGTTAAACTTGTATGTAACTGTAACTGTATTAAAACCAGTGTGAAGAGTCTGAGGACAGACTCGGGGGACAGGTCTCTGGTCAGAGAGTTTAGGCAGAGTGCACACGTGTAGCTCATCCATCCATCCTCTTCCAATGTATCTGTTGCCAGGTCGCAGAGGCCCAGAAACCCAGAGGGAAAAGGCCTGAATGTGGATGTCCATCCATCCATCCATTTTCTTCCCCTTAATCCAGTTCTAGGTCGGGGGGGTAGCAGTCAGAGCTGCACCACTACACTTAGCACCAGCCCCTCCTGCAGGTGCTGAGTCCACAGGAGCTGAGATCTTCCAGTGGGGGCTTCATGCAAAGTGGGGTTAAGTGTCTTGCCCAAGGACACAACAACAGCAGACATCAGTGGGAGTCGTGAAGTACGTCTTACGGTGGGCTCGAACCCACGACCTTCAGGCCCAAAGGCCAGAGCTCTACCAACTGAGCTACTGTCTTGGATGTGATAGTGATAACGGAAATACCAAGATGGCCGTCACACAGCCGGTCGCGCGCTCTAGTCCCTCACGTCTCCCTCATGTCAGAGCAGCGCACACACGGACAGGGCACTCCCAAAACACGGAGCACATGTTTCTAACCGTCTCCACGTGTCGCGCAAACGCGCAAACAAATAACACAAACACACGACGCACTACGGACCACATCGGCCCGGGTCTGTCCCAAGGCCGGTCTGACCCAGGACAGACTGCGACAGACCGGGGTAACTAGCCGAAACACCAATATTTCCAGTCTATGGGCGGAACTCTAGCGGTTTGGGCCGAAGTCTGGGGCTCGTTCTGCGGTGACGTCATGGCTCCCGTCCACTATGAGATCCAGCCCGGGATTTCCTCTGCAGCACCAGGCTGCGCGTTCATGTGCTGTTTATGTGTTATTATAATTTTAATAATAATAATTATTCAAATTATTGTTACTATTATCTTTATATTTTGTGACTGTTATTACTATTTCTGTTGTTTTTATTGTATTTATTAATTACTTATTCTATTAAACTAAGATGATGTATTTTTAGCTCCAAGTAAGGGGCCGATCGCACAAACTGTCAGTGAGACCCAGGGTCAGACTCCCTGGACCTGTCTCCCTGGTTTCACTTTGGTTTCTCTCTGGTCTCTCTCTGGTCTCACTCTGGTCTCTCTCTGGTCTCTCTCTGGTCTCTCTCTGGTCTCTCTCTGGTCTCTCTCTGGTCTTTCTCTGGTCTCTCTCTGGTCTCTCTCTGGTCTTTCTCTGGTCTCACTCTGGTCTCACTCTGGTCTCACTCTGGTCTCTCTCTGGTCTCTCTCTGGTCTCTCTCTGGTCTTTCTCTGGTCTCACTCTGGTCTCACTCTGGTCTCACTCTGGTCTCTCTCTGGTCTTTCTCTGGTCTCTCTCTCTGCAGATTGCTACAGCTTTTGTTTTCTTTTGCGTCATCAGAACTCTCTCACTCCCTGGACCTGTTCCTCCAGTTCTTCCGAGTTCCAGCACTCACAGTTTAGGTGTATATGTTTATACATAATATAAACAAATACATTATATATTTATATATAATACAGATATGATATAAATATATTTATGCATATACATTACTAATATAACTATAATAATATTGCTTGTGAAATTTTAAAATGCATGTTATTATTTATCGGAGCGCCCTCTGCTGGTGTGACACAGTCAGAACATTTGCATAGACTCACTGGTTTTAATTAACTTCTCTTCTTTATTTTCCAAAATCCATTGTATTTTACAATAAACAAAGAGACACAATATAAAGTTTACAGTCAAGTATCAACAAAGTGCTTTCTCCGATCACAGACTGTGTTTTGTGTGACATCACCTTGATGCAGAAGAGGCCATTACAATAGGGTAAAATGTGTTGCTAAGACGGTTGCTAGGGCATGCTGGAGTTTTAAATGAAGGCCTCAATGCAAAGCATTGTCTTCTTTGACTAATCATTCAATATTCAGGCAGAACATTGGACACCTAAACAAATTAAGCTATTTTCTTGTGATGAGTCACAATTATATTTAAGATCAAATAATCAATTTGTGAAAGTAAATGAATGGTTATAATGTTTTTGAGGTCATGCCACTGACATCCAGATTTGGAAACTTTCTACCAACCTTTAAAAAGGCTGTTATTTCTTTTAGATGAGAGAGAGTTCTAAACACGCTAACTTCTTCTGTGGGTCATTGGCAAATGTAGTTTCTGATATAACTGTGTCTTTGGGTAGATTTCAAAATAAAAGCTTAAAAATGTAGGTTTTTTTTGGTCGCACCACATGATATTTTCTCAAATTGACATTTGTGGACAAAGTTTCCTCGGCTGTTACAGTTTGTTCCTGTTGTTTGAACACTATAGACACACGTTTAGACCAAAGTGACAGAACCTGAAGCTTTTGTTCTGAACCTAAAACACAGACTGACCGTTCCTTAAACTAAAGAACTGCTTTACACTTTACTCTCATTTCTACAACACACTTTCTCCTTCTGCAACACACTTTCTCCTTCTGCAACACACTTTCTCCTTCTGCAACACACTTTCTCCTTCTGCAACACACTTTCTCCTTCTGCAACACACTTTCTCCTTCTGCAACACACTTTCTCCTTCTGTAACACACTTTCTCCTTCTGTAACACACTTTCTCCTTCTGTAACACACTTTCTCCTTCTGCAACACACTTTCTCCTTCTGCAACACACTTTCTCCTTCTGCAACACACTTTCTCCTTCTGCAACACACTTTCTCCTTCTGTAACACACTTTCTCCTTCTGCAACACACTTTCTCCTTCTGTAACACACTTTCTCCTTCTGCAACACACTTTCTCCTTCTGCAACACACTTTCTCCTTCTGCAACACACTTTCTCCTTCTGCAACACACTTTCTCCTTCTGTAACACACTTTCTCCTTCTGCAACACACTTTCTCCTTCTGCAACACACTTTTCTCCTTCTGCAACACACTTTCTCCTTCTGCAACACACTTTCTCCTTCTGCAACACACTTTCTCCTTCTGCAACACACTTTCTCCTTCTGCAACACACTTTCTCCTTCTGCAACACACTTTCTCCTTCTGTAACACACTTTCTCCTTCTGCAACACACTTTCTCCTTCTGTAACACACTTTCTCCTTCTGTAACACACTTTCTCCTTCTGCAACACACTTTCTCCTTCTGTAACACACTTTCTCCTTCTGTAACACACTTTCTCCTTCTGTAACACACTTTCTCCTTCTGTTACACACTTTCTCCTTCTGCAACACACTTTCTCCTTCTGTAACACACTTTCTCCTTCTGCAACACACTTTCTCCTTCTGTAACACACTTTCTCCTTCTGTAACACACTTTCTCCTTCTGTAAAGTATACTGTAGCACTGTACTGTAAAGTATACTGTAGTACTGTGATGTAAAGTATACTGTAGTACTGTGATGTAAAGTATACTGTAGTACTGTGATGTAAAGTATACTGTAGTACTGGGATGTATTGAGTTTATATTATTTGTAACCTTTTAGTTCTACTGAGAACAAAACAGTTCCATTGAACTTCTCTGAAAACTGACTAAAAGTACTGCAGTATTTTATATAAAGTACTGCAGTGTTTTATATAAAGTACTGCAGTGTTTTATATAAAGTACTGTAGTACTTATATTTTATATAATGTACAGTGTGTGTCAGGTTTAAGTCCCAGTGTGTGTCAGGTTTAAGTCCCAGTGTGTGTCAGGTTTAAGTCCCAGTGTGTGTCAGGTTTAAGTCCCAGTGTGTGTCAGGTTTAAGTCCCAGTGTGTGTCAGGTTTAAGTCCCAGTGTGTGTCAGGTTTAAGTCCCAGTGTGTGTCAGGTTTAAGTCCCAGTGTGTGTCAGGTTTAAGTCCCAGTGTGTGTCAGGTTTAAGTCCCAGTGAGTGTCAGGTTTAAGTCCCAGTGTGTGTCAGGTTTAAGTCCCAGTGTGTGTCAGGTTTAAGTCCCAGTGTGTGTCAGGTTTAAGTCCCAGTGTGTGTCAGGTTTAAGTCCCAGTGTGTGTCAGGTTTAAGTCCCAGTGTGTGTCAGGTTTAAGTCCCAGTGAGTGTCAAGTCCCAGTGTGTGTCAGGTTTAAGTCCCAGTGAGTGTCAGGTTTAAGTCCCAGTGTGTGTCAGGTTTAAGTCCCAGTGAGTGTCAAGTCCCAGTGTGTGTCAGGTTTAAGTCCCAGTGAGTGTCAGGTTTAAGTCCCAGTGTGTGTCAGGTTTAAGTCCCAGTGAGTGTCAAGTCCCAGTGTGTGTCAGGTTTAAGTCCCAGTGTGTGTCAGGTTTAAGTCCCAGTGAGTGTCAGGTTTAAGTCCCAGTGTGTGTCAGGTTTAAGTCCCAGTGAGTGTCAAGTCCCAGTGTGTGTCAGGTTTAAGTCCCAGTGTGTGTCAGGTTTAAGTCCCAGTGTGTGTCAGGTTTAAGTCCCAGTGTGTGTCAGGTTTAAGTCCCAGTGTGTGTCAGGTTTAAGTCCCAGTGAGTGTCAGGTTTCAGTCCCAGTGTGTGTCCAGGTTTAAGTCCCAGTGTGTGTCAGGTTTAAGTCCCAGTGTGTGTCAGGTTTAAGTCCCAGTGTGTGTCAGGTTTAAGTCCCAGTGTGTGTCAGGTTTAAGTCCCAGTGTGTGTCAGGTTTAAGTCCCAGTGTGTGTCAGGTTTAAGTCCCAGTGTGTGTCAGGTTTAAGTCCCAGTGAGTGTCAAGTCCCAGTGTGTGTCAGGTTTAAGTCCCAGTGTGTGTCAGGTTTAAGTCCCAGTGTGTGTCAGGTTTAAGTCCCAGTGTGTGTCAGGTTTAAGTCCCAGTGTGTGTCAGGTTTAAGTCCCAGTGTGTGTCAGGTTTAAGTCCCAGTGTGTGTCAGGTTTAAGTCCCAGTGTGTGTCAGGTTTAAGTCCCAGTGTGTGTCAGGTTTAAGTCCCAGTGTGTTCAAGCAGGAAATAACTGTACGAAGAAAATGTCATTAAAGATTATTGTAATTTCACATGAGGTTAAAAAACACTTCAGAAAAGATGCCAAATGGAGCAGAAAATACATTTGAGTAGATTTAGATACTTTTTAAGCAAAAGTCCTACACTGGATTCATGTGTGGACGGTCGCACCACATTTCTACACTTCCAGTAACAACAAAAATGCAAATACCAAATGCTTTTTAAATAATGTTTGTGGTGAGGGACTAAATACATATGGTCTTTAAAAAATACAGTCGGACAGTGACTTTGGGCGTGTTTGACCCAAATGCACCTGAGAATGCTTCCAGAAGTCTCCGCTCATGTAGATGGATTTCCTGTTTCCTCTTAAATCCTCCAATTTCAGAGAATTTGTTAAATATTTCAATTAATTTTCCTTAAACCTCAAACCATCAAGATCGCTTTACCTTCTTCTGGTTCAGCCCCGAAAGAATATACTTATATATGTACGTAATAAGTAAGTAATAAGTAATTACACAAAGATACATTTGTCATGTAAACAAGCAGTTGGTCTCTCTGGTCTCTCTTTAGTCTCTCTTCTGGTCTCTCTTTAGTCTCTCTTTAGTCTCTCTTTAGTCTCTCTTTAGTCTCTCTTTAGTCTCTCTCTAGTCTCTCTCTGGTCTCTCTCTGGTCTCTCTCTGGTCTCTCTCTGGTCTCTCTCTAGTCTCTCTCTGGTCTCTCTCTGGTCTCTCTCTGGTCTCTCTCTGGTCTCTCTCTGGTCTCTCTCTGGTCTCTCTCTAGTCTCTCTCTGGTCTCTCTCTGGTCTCTCTCTGGTCTCTCTCTGGTCTCTCTCTGGTCTCTCTCTGGTCTCTCTCTGGTCTCTCTCTGGTCTCTCTCTGGTCTCTCTCTGGTCTAAAGAGTGAATAACAAGCCTTTCCAATATTTACACACAGAAATAACTTAATGTCTCATGTGGAGAAGTGTAGCAGCTGTTTTTGGATCATTTGAACTTTTTCCATGGGCAAAGGTTCAATGTCCCATTTCTGGTACAGATCCATGGTACAGATCCATGGGTAAAAGTCCAACGTCCCATTTCAATCCTTCAAACTCTCCAACCACCAAACAGTATTCCACAGCCTTCCCAAACAAAGGGCAGTATCCACGTTCCCAGTTCTGTCCCCAAAGGTGTCTTCCTGGTTTGTTTTCTTCCTGGTTTGTTTTCTTCATGGTTTGTTTTCTTCATGGTGTGTTTTCCTCAGAGGATGTCGGGCTTGTGCAGACGCAGCTCCTCGTCGGTCACCCTCAGATTCCCGAGGTACCAGAAGATCCACAAGAACAGACTGAAGAACATGAGCACAGGTCCGGAAAACACAAAGAAGTCCCAGTAACTCAGGGGCGCGAAGATTCCGATCAGCAGCATCAGAACTCCCAACACGTCCAGGAGGATGGCCAGCCCCATGAAGAACGCCGTGCATCTGTTGGCCTCCATTCTGGGTCTGGTCCTGGCCCTGGTCCTGGTCCTGGTCTTGGTCCTGGTCCTGGTTGACGTCTGCCTGCAGTGACTTGTGACAGTGACTCCGGAGTCGTTCCAATCAGAGAGGTGCAGTGGTCAGACTGGTCCTGGTCTCATTCCTGACTGAGGTTGGACCGGTCGGACCAGCCGCTGTCGAGGCGTCGCAACTATTTTTACATTTGTAAAAGATTCAAGATCAGTTTGAGAATGTCTGAGCTCAGAGCTTTTGTTTAGAGCTGGAGCCGAGGACAGTTGGTGTTTCGCCCAAAATCACAGCAGTTTCTTCACAATCTTTACACAGACTCAAGAGGCTTCTGTGATCAATCTCGTTTTTCTCTGGTCCCTCTCTCTCTGGTCTCTCTCTCCGGTCTCTCTCTCTGGTCTCTCTCTCTCTAGTCTCTCTCTAGCCTCTCTCTGGTCTCTCTCTAGCCTCTCTCTGGTCTCTCTCTCTGGTCTCTCTCTCTCTGGTCTCTCTCTAGCCTCTCTCTGGTCTCTCTCTCTGGTCTCTCTCTCTCTGGTCTCTCTCTGGTCTCTCTCTCTAGCCTCTCTCTCTGGTCTCTCTCTCTGGTCTCTCTCTCTGGTCCCTCTCTCTCTAGTCTCTCTCTAGCCTCTCGCTGGTCCTCTCTCTCTGGTCTCTCTCTCTCTGGTCTCTCTCTCTGGTCTCTCTCTCTGGTCTCTCTCTCTGGTCTCTCTCTCTCTGGTCTCTCTCTCTCTGGTCTTTCTCTCTGGTATTTCTCTCTGGTCTCTCTCTCTGGTCTCTCTCTCTCTGGCCTCTCTCTCTGGTCTCTCTCTCTGGTCTCTCTCTCTGGTCCCTCTCTCTCTAGTCTCTCTCTCTGGCTCTCTCTCTGGTCTCTCTCTCTGGTCTCTCTCTCTGGTCTCTCTCTCTGGTCTCTCTCTCTGGTCTCTCTCTCTCTGGTCTTTCTCTCTGGTGTCTCTCTCTGGTCTCTCTCTCTCTGGTCTCTCTCTCTGGTCTCTCTCTCTCTTGTCTCTCTGGTCTCTGCAGTCTCTTATGATGCAAAATTTAACATTTCTCACAGTTCTCACAATTATTATTATTATTAATATATATTACTGCTATTATACTGTATATAAAAGCAGTAATATATATAAATGATGATAATAATAATAATAATAATAATAATAAAAACAATGCTTTGGTTTAATACAGTTCCTCAGAGTCCCAGCAGGAGACCAGTCCCTGTGCTCCTCAGAGTCCCAGCAGTAGGCCAGTCCCTGTGCTCCTCAGAGTCCCAGCAGGAGGCCAGTCCCTGTGCTCCTCAGAGTCCCAGCAGGAGACCAGTCCCTGTGCTCCTCAGAGTCCCAGCAGGAGTCCAGTCCCTGTGCTCATCAGAGTCCCAGCAGGGGGTCAGTCCCTGTGCTCCTCAGAGTCCCAGCAGTAGGCCAGTCCCTGTGCTCCTCAGAGTCCCAGCAGGAGACCAGTCCCTGTGCTCCTCAGAGTCCCAGCAGGAGGCCAGTCCCTGTGCTCCTCAGAGTCCCAGCAGGAGGCCAGTCCCTGTGCTCCTCAGAGTCCCAGCAGGAGGCCAGTCCCTGTGCTCCTCAGATAAAATAACTACTTGTTGTTTCCTGCAAACGTGAATGAACTTGACTCTCTAATGTAACAGTGCAGTGAGGAGGTCCAGCCACTAGTCGGCGCTGTTGTATTATTTTACATGAGTCTAAAGTTCATGTTGAAGTGTAGAAAGAGAGACCAGAGAGAGACCAGAGAGAGACCAGAGAGAGACCAGAGAGAGACCAGAGAGAGACCAGAGAGAGACCAGAGAGAGACCAGAGAGAGACCAGAGAGAGACCAGAGAGAGAGACCAGAGATTGAGACCAGGGAGAGACCAGAGAGAGACCAGAGACAGACCAGAGAGAGAGACCAGAGAGAGACCAGAGAGAGAGACCAGAGACAGACCAGAGAGAGACCAGAGAGAATCAGGCTCCGAAGAGTCTGCCATCTGTTTGAGGAAGAGGAAGCCTTTATTTCCCGTCCACTTCACCTGAGTTGCCATGGAAACAAACAAAGCATAACTGGGACCAAACCATATCCTTCTTTAGTCCCTCTTGGTCCTGGTTCTATCCAGGCCGAGCTGGTGTTAAAGTGTTTTAACTGACAGTTACTGGCCAGAGTGCTGCTGGGAACCGTGGTTCTCAAGGAGCTCTACTCTACTACTGTTTCCCCCTCTGGAAAGAGTAGAGTAGAGTAGAGTAGAGTAGAGTAGAGTAGGCTCAGGGTGAGGCTCTTGATTTGGTTTCTATTTGGAGACAAACAAATGTAATGTTACCGTCTACTGCAAACATTTACATAAGGCGAAACCAGAGAGAGACCAGAGAGAGACCAGAGAGAGACCAGAGAGACCAGAGAGAGACCAGAGAGAGACCAGAGAGAGACCAGAGAGAGACCAGAGAGACCAGAGAGAGACCAGAGAGAGACCAGAGAGAGACCAGAGAGAGACCAGAGAGAGACCAGAGAGAGACCAGAGACAGACCAGAGAGAGACCAGAGAGAGACCAGAGAGAGACCAGAGAGAGACCAGAGAGAGGCCAGAGTCCTATAATAGTATGACATCATCACATATTAGTTTGTTTTGTAAAATACGTCCATTTTCTTCTGCTTCATCCGTTGCCGGGTCGTGGGGGCAGCAGTATGAGCAGGGACCTCCCTCTCCACATACTTCCTCCAGCTCTTCTGCCCGAGCCACCTCCTAGTGGAGGAGCAGCGGCTCTACTGTGAGCTCCTCCATGTGCAGGAGAAGCAGAATTCAAGTGAAACCATCTTCATGAATATGTTTTCTTATACTGAAGGAGTGACTTATGTGTTCTGCACGGACACACACACACACAGACACACAGACACACACACACACACAGACGCACACACACGCACACACAGACACACACACATCAGTCAGACCAGTTGAACCAGTGACAGGAGCAAACACTGCACTGTGTCCATCTGCAGCTGAGACTGTTTAAACCACACACACTGTGTGTGTGCGTGTCTCTGTGTGTGTGTGTGTTTGTGTATAGTGTGTATGTTTGTGTGTGTGCATAAGTCATTACACAAGTCAAAAATTAACAGGATTAGAAGACATATTATCAAAAAGAAAATAAGTGTATTCGTATCACAGACACACACAGACACACACACAGACACACACACACACACACACACACACAAACACAGAAACATGCACACACACAGACAGATCACAGACACACACACACAGACACACACACACACACACAGACACACACACAGACCACAGTACAATCACAAGTTACTTTTTTGATATATTTATTTCTTTTGTATAAAGTGCTTTTAAACAGTCGCTTTTGTGTCTCTCTCCAGTAAACTGTCTGTCTCTACACACACACAGACACACACTACACAATCTACACACACACACACACTTTTTTCCATTTCCAATCCGTGTTTACATAAAGTGCAAATGTGCGTCAGTCACATGGTCGTGTTGTTTTGCCTCCAGTCCCAGCAACTCATGTTACACTCTCCTTCAACTCTCTCTGGTCTCTTTATGGTCTCTCTCTGGTCTCTCTCTCTGGTCTCTCTCTGGTCTCTCTCTGGTCTCTCTCGCTGGTCTCTCTCTGGTCTCTCTCTCTGGTCTCTCTCTGGTCTCTCTGGTCTCTCTCTGGCCTCTCTCTGGTCTCTCTCTCTGGTCTCTCTCTCTGGTCTCTCTCTGGTCTCTCTCTTGTCTCTCTCTCTGGTCTCTAGTCTCTCTCTGGTGTCTGGTCTCTCTGGTCTCTCTCTGGTCTCTCTCTTGTCTCTCTCTCTGGTCTCTGGTCTCTCTCTGGTCTCTCTGGTCTCTGGTCTCTCTCTGGTCTCTCTCTGGTTTCTCTGGTCTCTGGTCTCTCTCTGGTCTCTCTCTCTCTGGTCTCTCTCTGGTCTCTCTCTGGTCTCTCTCTGGTCTCTCTGGGCTCTCTGGGCTCTCTCTGGTCTCTCTGGTCTCTGGTCTCTCTCAGGTCTCTCTCTGGTCTCTCTGGGCTCTCTCTGGTCTCTCTGGTCTCTGGTCTCTCTCTGGTCTCTGGACTCTCTCTGGTCTCTCTCTGGTCTCTCTCTGGTCTCTCTCTCTGCTCTGGTCTCTGGTCTCTCTGGTCTCTCTGGTCTCTGGTCTCTCTCTGGTCTCTCTGGGCTCTCTCTGGTCTCTCTGGTCTCTGGTCTCTCTCTGGTCTCTGGGCTCTCTCTGGTCTCTCTCTTCTCTGGTCTCTAGTCCCAGACTCAGAACAAAGAACCAGATTCTGCGTCTGTCATGTCCTCTCTGGTGTCCACGCCGCTGTCTGGAGGCTCCTCCTGATCCGGTCTCTGCTCCTTCTGGTCTTCACTCTCAGACTCTGCGTCGTCCACGGTTTGCTCCTGACTCTGTTGAAACGAAAACCTGCGTCAGTCGAAGTGAAGTGCTGTTGCTCTTGCTTGGTCTAAAAATCTAACATTATGACTATTATGTTTAACCGAGAGGAAGACGGAGGAGAGGGGTGTAGGGTCGTAGAGGTTCTGGGCCTGTGTGTGTGTATATGTGTGTGTGTGTGTTTGTGTGTGTGTGTATGTATTTGTGTGTTTGTGTGTGTGTCTGTGTGTGTGCGTGTTTGTGTGTGTCTGTGTGTGTGTGTGTGTGTGTGTGTGCGCGTGCGTATTTGTGTGTGTGCGTGTGTGTGTGTGTTTGTGCGTCTGTGTGTGTGTATATATGTGTGTGTGTGCGTGCGTATTTGTGTGTGCGCGTGTGTGTGTGTGTGCGTCAGGCTGAGAAAGGAGACATTGTAATCTAGCCTCGGCCCATGAGGTCTATGGGAAATCCAGCCGTGTGGATTAAGGCTGCAGTACCGTGGGTGGCCCCTAGTCAGCATGACTTGACTCTCTGGTCTCTTTCTGGTCTCTCTTTCTCTCTCTCTGCTCTCACTCTTTTTCTCTCTCTCTTTCTCTCTCTCTCTCTCTCTTCACATGGAACACTTTGGACGAGACAACAGTTGTATCCTGTGTCATGCTTTTGTCAGACAACAATGAAAACAGATTCTCATGACGCAACAGAATCTATGGTTCATGTCCTAACATACTGCAAGGAAACAGTACCAGAGTAGAACAGAGTAGAGTAGAGTAGAGTAGAGTAGAGTAGAGTAGAGTAGAGTAGAGTAGAGTAGAGTAGAGTAGAGTAGAGTAGAGTAGAGTGGAGCTGGTGGAAACATGAGAAATCTGGGGTCTCCTACCTTCTTGTCTTCTTTCTGATCTTCTGCTGTGTCCTTTCTGTCCTCACCCTGAGACAGAAGACACACAATGGGTCTACAGCCTCAGTCCTGGCTCTACAGCCTCAGTCCTGAGTCTACCGCCTCAGTCCTGGGTCTACCGCCTCAGTCCTGGGTCTACAGCCTCAGTCCTGGGTCTACAGCCTCAGTCCTGGATATACAGCCTCAGTCCTGGGTCTACAGCCTCAGTCCTGGGTCTACAGCCTCAGTCCTGGGTCTACAGCCTCAGACCTGGATCTACAGCCTCAATCCTGGGTCTACAACCTCAGTCCTGGGTCTACAACCTCAGCCCTGGGTCTACAGCCTCAGTCCTGGGTCTACAACCTCAGTCCTGGGTCTACAACCTCAGCCCTGGGTCTACAACCTCAGCCCTGGGTCTACAGCCTCAGTCCTGGGTCTACAGCCTCAGTCCTGGGTCTACAGCCTCAGTCCTGGGTCTACAGCCTCAGTCCTGGGTCTACAGCCTCAGTCCTGGGTCTACAGCCTCAATCCTGGGTCTACAGCCTCAGTCCTGGGTCTACAACCTCAGCCCTGGGTCTACAGCCTCAGTCCTGGGTCTACAGCCTCAGTCCTGGGTCTACAGCCTCAGTCCTGGGTCTACAGCCTCAGTCCTGGGTCTACAGCCTCAGTCCTGGGTCTACAGCCTCAGTCCTGGGTCTACAGTATATTTATGTTACCTTTGGGTCTCTCGCCTCCTCCGGGTCGCGCTCGTACCCTGGGTTCACGTACGCGGTGGACTTCCCCCACGTAACTCGCCCTGTTTTCTTCCCCTTCTTCTTCTCCCCCTCCTCCTCATCCTCCTCCTGCTCCCCCTCCTCCCTCCTCAGCACCTCCCCCTTCAGCTTCTCGCTCAGCCTCCTTGAGATGCTCCTGGCCAGCTCCATGATGCTGCCTCCTTTCCCCACGGCGGCGGCGGTGAGCGGGTCGTACGGCGGCGGGACGTTGCCCAGGTACCAGAACAGCCAGAGGAACAGGCTGAAGAACAGGATCAGAGACCCGGTGTAGATCAGGAAGTCCCCGTAGAAGACGCCTTTGATTCGAAGGTCGCCAAAGATCCCCAGGAAGAGAAGAATGATCCCAGTGATGTCGAAGACCAAGGCGAGCAGGAAGATCGGCAGGCAGGCCCCGATGGCGGCCCGCACCTCCATACTGCTGACACTGCAGAGGCCCAGGGCTGAGGCCGGGGTCTGAGGCCGGGGACTGAGGCCGGGATCTGAGGCCGGGGACTGAGGCCGGGGACTGAGGCTGGGGTCTGAGGCCGGGCTACTGTGGCCAAGGGCAGGTCTGGAGAAAGAAGAAGGTTATTTATATAGCACCGTTTCAATCATTCATTTAAACAGAGAGAGACCTTTTATCACATCAACTACAAGTATGTTGTCTGTTCCCTCTCTCTAGTCTCTCTCTGGTCTCTCTCTGGTCTCCCTCTGGTCTCTCTCTGGTCTCCCTCTGGACTCTCTCTGGTCTCTCTCTGGTCTCTCTCTGGTCTCTCTCTGGTCTCTCTGGTCTCTCTCTGGTCTCTCTCTGGTGTCTCTCTGGTCTCTCTCTGGTCTCTCTCTGGTCTCTCTGGTCTCTCTCTGGTCTCTCTCTGGTGTCTCTCTGGTGTCTCTCTGGTGTCTCTCTGGTCTCTCTCTGGTCTCTCTCTGGTCTCTCTGGTCTCTCTATGGTCTCTCTCTGGTCTCTCTCTGGTCTCTCTCTGGTCTCTCTCTGGTCTCTCTCTGGTCTCTCTTTGGTCTCTCTCTGGTCTCTCTCTGGTCTCTCTCTGGTCTCTCTCTGGTCTCTCTTTGGTCTCTCTCTGCATGATGATGTTGTCCAGTAGAAATAACTTCAATGCAGAGAGAGACAAAAGGTAGGCTAGAGACCAGAGAGAGACTAGAGAGAGACCAGTCAGGGTGTTAGTATTAGATAGCAATATGGCCTACGTGCAGGACTGTACAAGGACTCCATGTTATGACTATGATGTGACTGTCTCTTTGTGACACGTATGTCTTTCGATGTGTGACGTGACAATGACTATATAAACTGTGTACTGCCTTTATTCTGTCTGAGGGAAAGAAACAGAGTAAACCAGTGGAACTTGAGAGAAACTTAAATAAACTTCCAGAGTTTGGCACACCACGATCCGTCTCTGTCTGGTTCATCCTGACAGATTTGGTGGAGAATGCGCGGCTCAGTTTGTGCCATTCTCTGGATTGTTTTGAGGGAGTTTGCTCTGTTTCTTTTCCTCTGCGTGAGAGACCGGCATGCTGTGTCTGGGAGCGGAGATTCCAGCAGGCTGGAAGAGCTGTTCCTGGATGCTTCTTGTCGCTTCTGTCACTTTTGTTTTTTAAATTGAATATTCCGACGCGGAAAAGAGGTTGGCAGACCTCTCGGACAGTCCTTGGAACCGGTTTGACAAGAATAAGGTAAGCAGACACCTTTTTATATGTAAAGTCTGCATAATTGGATATTAGCTAAATTTTGGTCTGTTTTTGGGGTCTGTCAAACTCTCTAAATTGTATTTGAAGCAGTCTCAGGGTTTATGTCCCTTGGAGCAGTCTCAGGGTTTAAGTCCCTTGGAGCAGTCTCAGGGTTTAAGTCCCTTGGAGCAGTCTCAGGGTTTAAGTCCCTTGGAGCAGTCTCAGGGTTTAAGTCCCTTGGAGCAGTCTCAGGGTTTAAGTCCCTTGGAGCAGTCTCAGGGTTTAAGTCCCTTGGAGCAGTCTCAGGGTTTATGTCCCTTGGAGCAGTCTCAGGGTTTAAGTCCCTTGGAGCAGTCTCAGGGTTTAAGTCCCTTGGAGCAGTCTCAGGGTTTATGTCCCTTGGAGCAATCTCAGGGTTTAAGTCCCTTGGAGCAGTCTCAGGGTTTATGTCCCTTGGAGCAGTCTCAGGGTTTAAGTCCCTTGGAGCAGTCTCAGGGTTTAAGTCCCTTGGAGCAGTCTCAGGGTTTAAGTCCCTTGGAGCAGTCTCAGGGTTTAAGTCCCTTGGAGCAGTCTCAGGGTTTATGTCCCTTGGAGCAGTCTCAGGGTTTATGTCCCTTGGAGCAGTCTCAGGGTTTAAGTCCCTTGGAGCAGTCTCAGGGTTTAAGTCCCTTGGAGCAGTCTCAGGGTTTATGTCCCTTGGAGACACACAGTCTCAGGGTTTGAGTCCCTTGGAGCAGGATCCTTAGTGAAACCATGGTGTAAAAATTAAAAGTTATAATAAAAAGAGAAACGTTAAACACTAAAGAGTGCCTTTTGTTACTAGTGTGGAAATTGGCCATTTCTAGACTTGGATGACAAAAGTTTAAAGAACAACATCCGTTATATTCGCTTAACAAAGTAATCTTGAAAGTAATTCTTCTTTCTGTTTTCGCATTTTTGCTAAAACACTGCTTTCTGCCTGTGTGTGTGCGTCGCACTATCTTGCTGCCGTTGTCAGGGAAACGGCCCCCTCCTTCGCTGCTCTGGCTCTGAATCAGAGCTACTGCTTTTAGGATTTCTGGCTTTTCATAGTTGTTATTCCGTTAAATTTGCGAAATTTGCCATTGAATATTGTGTTATGACACAGTTAAACATTTTTAAACACCATTTAGTAAATAGAAGTTTTGAATATTATATGTTTTTTGAAACCCAAAGATTAGTGCTAAAGCTGTGCAATTGTTTTTAGACCTAACATATTTCTAGATTCCATTCTTTTAAATCTGCTGCTTATTTCTCAACTGTTTGTGAGTTGTGTTTGTTTTCATGTTTTTATTTTAGTTACAAAAGCCGTTTTTCAAACATTTAAATTAGAATCTGTGTTAAAAGTGATTATTGATTATAGACTTCGTCTAAAAAGAAAGAGGGAATTAGGAATTAGCTGTAAAAGTATTATATTATTAAGTTAAACTACCCAATTCACATGCAAGTGGCGACTTTTTGTTTTTGTTTTGACTACACGCCTGACCTTGCTCCTCCTGCTGATGCACACAGCAGAGGAGCCTGGTCTGAAATGTGCAAGATAATTAAACACACAGTACAAAAGTACACATATTTTAAAGTTTAAAGGTTTTTTGAGATTTGAGTCTTGTTTTTTTATATTAAGAGTTTCTGGTCTTAAAAATGTCATCATTAGTAAGATAATAAGTAATCTTTTATTTACATAGCGCTTGGGAAAACCCAGAGCGCTCCAAAATTGTTTTGACTTTAGGGAGAAAAACAATCTCATTCACAATCTCTGTTGTTTTTAATTTGACTATAAGGTTGTTTTCCAGAACCAAGGGCACACACTGTACAGGGTCACTGGACTGCTGGACTGGACACAGAGGGATCAGAACAGTGGCCCAGAGTAGACACCATCCAACCAGCCGCAGATCGTAAAGGCGACATAGCTACCTCCGTGTGCCCCTCCCCCACTACAGACCGATGGTCGTAGGTGGCAGTGAGACCGGGGCCACAAAGTGGGGTTTTCTGTAGGCAGTGGTGGGTGAGTTGTTTTGCAATCTGGAAGTGTGCCCACTTTGCTTGTTTACATCACCACAGTGTGACCTTTGAGACCTACAGGTGGTTCGAGGAGTCTGGAGACACAACCCCAAAATTCACACCCTACACACACACACACACACACACATACATTCATACACTCACACATTCACATTTACATATAGATACATGAAAAAGTAGAACATGAGAAAAAAGCATTTTAAAAGTTTACTCCAATGTAAACACATTTTTAATTGTCTAGTCAGTATCTAATCAGTATTTTTTGAGACCAGAAATGTTCATTTGAATTCTATATTGTCATGGACTTAATTGACGTCTGTCCTGACACTTTTGATTTGTTGATTTTGTACTGTGTGAAGTAATTACATTGATTAGAATTAGATCTGATAAAAACACAAATTAGAGAAGTAAACTGCGCTTGCTTTTGTCTGAGGGACAGAAGCAACAGCATGAATAGAAATTGATTAGGATTAGAATCAAAGTGACTTAACCATAGAAAGTAACTATTGCATAACAAGCTGTGTACAGGAACTGTCACACTGCACCATTGACCAGAAGTGCATCGCAAATGACCTGATGTGCTTCAAGTGAAAAGACTGTATCTGGAGATCCTGATGTCCAACTGGAGAGACCCTTCTGATGTCCAAGATGACATCTCTCGAAATATGACCTGACCTGATGACGACTGAGACTCAACCTGAGGATCTGAGGACCTGAGAGAGAAAAACTGGGGAGTGATGTTTATATTTTTGAAATCATACATTGATGAGTGCTAAATGAGAGAGATACTCATGATTCTTTCTTTTGTTTTTGTTTGTCCCTAGCTTCTGGACATCTGATGATCTATTGGACACAGCCATTTGCAGAACAAGAACCAGCCAATGAAAACGTCTATTGCCGATGCTATTGCTACAACCACAACTGTGACCAAATGCAATATGCATGTTAAGTATTCAGACATCTGACAGACAAAAACTTTGACTTTTTTAGTCTGGTAGACTGAGCAACTGTTAAAAACTTTGAAAATGATAAAGTATGAGTATTGTAGCGTTTTATTAGATGTTAAATAGTAGTAAAAAAGTAGAATTGTCCTTCCTTTGTTGTTCATAAACACATTTCCACATAAGAGTTAAAATAGTACCATACAATGTTATCCTTCTGATAGAGCAGCTAGAATATTAGAATCAGAATCATGTTACAGCCACTAAAAGTGACAGAAGTCACAAACTAGAAATATGCCTTGGCTCAAGCTGCAGCCAAGCTTTGGAGTCACAATAGAGTAGAAATAGGAATAGGTAAATGCATCAACCATAGATTCTTTCAAAAATAGAGATTATTTGTAGCCAGTGCTAATATCAAATGGTAAAGGGACCATTTCACAAACATTTACTTCAGAAGTAAATAAAGTTACTTACAGTTTTATTAGATACTTGCCAAATTCACTTGTGTTCAAACATCTGAATGTTGACAATACAAAAAGTCCATATGAGTGTAGTCTAGATTAATGCCTAGATTAATGAGATAGATTAGCACCAACAGAGATTCAAAAGCATTTTAAAGCATTTTGATGCATTTGGGTATAGCAC